ACATGGAGGTGGTGCTTTAGGTTTAGAAGCCAATTATGTATTTCATACATAATTCTGAGAGGGCAAAGTAAGAATTTTTCAAATTAAGATGACTTATTTACAGTGTCAAAAAAATCTGAGGAACAAAAAAGCAGGTTTGCCTTTTGTCTTATTTAGGCACTAAATTGTTTCAGGGAGAGCATTTTAGCCAAAGTAGAAAGATTCCAAAGATGCTACACCATGAGGGCTGTCTTCTAGCTAAGTTAGATGGTTACTCCCTGTCCAGCAACATTAGAGGGCTGAGAGGAAGAGCAAGTTAAGTTTTCCACTGTATCAAACTTCTCATTAAACAGCTAGCCACAGTCACTGCTCTGTGACCCACTAAAATTTTCAGTTTGACTCAGTGTCTACTCCTAACACTTTCAGGAGTTAGGTTAATTCTTAGTGATCATACTAGGTAGAACGAGCTGAATGATCATCACTTTTCTGTCTGATAAAACTGAAAAATCTTCTGGCCAACCAACTTCTCAGGTACCTCTTGCAACCCCAAATTCTTCAGGAGTGAACACATGAGATGACTGATTCTATCACAGATGACAAGGTTATAAAGCAATGTTGCTGCAAAGTCCTGCCAGCAATTGACGGGAAAGGACAGGTTTCCATAATTCCTTGCTTAAATAATGCCAACTGCTTTTCCTGCATACATGAAATAAGTTAAGAACTAGCAGATTATATTTGGAAGTCATTAAAGTCTCTCTCGTGATTTTTTAATGGTGACATCATGGCAGCCAACACTCAATTGTTATCAAATGTTTCATATATTCAGACACAGAAAATAGCTAAGTTTGCTTGAACGTTGCTAGTAAATGACAAAGGAGAGTCAGACAATTTGACACAGAAAACCATTCCTCCAATGCAGTGGGGATCCTGGTAGTTTTCAGCACTGCCTCTCAGTCACTGCCCCTCCTCCCTCCCGTTTTCTGCTATAAACGTTTTGGCAAAATAATGAGGAAAGGTAATAATGCCCTAATTTAAATTAAAGTTACATGTCCTTGAAAAGGTTACTTTTCTTACTTTGGTTTTATTTATTTATTTATTTTGAGTTGGAGTCTCATTGTCGTCCAGGCTGGAGTGCAGTGGCATGCTCAGGGCCACCCCAGTGTTGACCACCTGGGCTCAGGCAATCCTTCCAACTCAGCCTTCTAAGTAGCTGGAACTACAGGCACGTGCTACCACACCCGGCTAATTTTTCTGATTTATTGTAGAGACGAGGTCTTACCAAGTTGCCCGGGTTGGTCTCAAACCCGTGCTTAGGCAATCCACTTGGCTCAGCCTCCCAAAGTGTTGGGATTACAGGCGAAGCCATTGAGCCCCGCCCTTACTTTATCTTTAGATAATCATTTGCAATCACTGTTTTACCTAAATTTGGAAAGTAAACAATTATAGTACTGTATTATTCAATTTTGTTATTTCAGGTTTTGGAAATGTTTTGACATTTTTCATAATATTATTATAAAAGTTACAAGTTCTGCTGACAAAACTAACACCAGGGGGTAAACCGAAGTTGCCCAGAACAAAAATTTTATAATGGTGTCAGGAACCGCATATATTCATTTCAAAAGAGAACTTAAGCTGCTAGCTAATTCTGATGTCTTGATTTCTTCAAATCTAGACAGTACTCTTAGCGTGTATCACACCATTTGACTCTAAATTATATAGTATCTTCTACCCCCCAAATAATCTCGTATTGGAATCTTATGTTCTCTATACAATGGGGAAGATCAAGAAATATTTGATGAGTGGATTTGAATGGATTGTATTTCCAACTTGTTCTTAACCTGGAAGGCAGGGATTACATCTGCCCTACAAGACTGGGTACAGTGTTAGGTACAAGTACTTCATCCCTCAGGAATCAACCATTTGAAAGCGAGACGAGACTGGAACAGGGCAGGAATGAGAATGGAAAGTTTCACAGATGTACACTGACAGGAAAGCCATTGGGGGTCCTGAGATTGGTGAGGAAAAAGGCTCAGTTCCTCAAAGGTCTGCTGGACCAGAGGATGTGTGAAGAAGCCTAGTTACAGCATACAATAGAGGCTGGTGTATTTAAAGCAGGAACTCAGGGCCAGGAGCGGTGGCTCACACCTGTAATACCAGTATTTTGGGAGGCCGAGATGGAGGAATGCCTGAAGCCAGGAGTTCAAGACCAGCCTGGGTAATGTAGTGAGACCTCGTCTCTATTTCATAATACATACACAAATAAAGCTAGCAAGCCAGCCAGCCAGCCAGAACTCAGAAGCCCAGGGAATGCTCCTGGCTTTCAGTCCGTTTCCTCATTTGTAAAATGAGGTATGCAGTGTTGCCTTGAGAAGTAAAGAAAATGGCATAGCACTTTGCAGATGGTGCTGTGATGTGTAATTATACCCTGTGCTTTCAAAAATAGAGTATTTACCTTTGCACAGCTGACTTTCTAAACGATGACAGACCTAGGACTATAAAGGATGGCAGCATATTGGAATCAAAGGAGATCATGAATTATTGAGGAAGTTTGAAAAGAAATGTTTAAAAAATTCACTATTTGAGCTAATAAACATCTTCTATAATTAGAAACACAGAGTTTAAGCTCAGCATTATAGAAGATGTGTCCACAAAGTCAGTGGTGTCCTGACAATAATTCCTGCTGAATATAGATTTCATTCTTTCCTCCTTTCATTAATTGATGCATTCATTCATTGAGTATCTTCTGTGGGCCAAGCATACTGGAGGTGTAGGGGATAGGATGGTAAGCAAAATAAACATGGTCCTTTCCTCATGGCATGCATAATTTAATGAGAGACCTGACTTCGGCATCTTCTCAAAGACTCAGTTAGAGATAGAATAGGGCCTCAGCACACTTAATTCAAGCACTTACATTTACAGATAAGGGCCCTGAGGCCCAAAGGAGTTAAGAAATTGCTCAAGATCTTAGGGCTGCTGTTAGAGGGGGAAAGAAGCAAGGGCTCCCCACTGTCATTTTCGCAATCTTTACCAAACTGACAGAAATGGGAGATATTCCACTTGCAAATTTATACATTAAAACCAGAAGGCGGCCGGGCTCGGTGGCTCAGCCTGTAATCCCAGCACTCTGGGAGGCTGAAGTGAGTAGAATGCCTGAGCCAGCGGGTTCGAGTCCCACCCGGGCAACTTGATGAGACCTAATCTCTACAATAAATCAAAAATTAGCCAGGCATGGTAGTGCGCGCCTGTACTTCCAGCTACTAGGAAGGCTGAGGCGGAAGGATCGCCGGAGCCCAGCAGGTCGAGGCTGCGGTGGCCGAGAGCGGCCACTGCACTCCAGTCTGAGTGACAGACTGAGACTCCAACTCAAAAACAAAAAACAAAAAAACCCCCAGAAGGCACAGACCTTTTTTCAACTACAACAACAAAAATACCACATTATACTTGGCTAAGAGAAAGTGCTCTGGAACAACAGAAAAAATGAATGAAAAGTGCTAATACCTGTGGAAAAGAACAAGGAAGACAGGCTAAGAAAGGGGCAGCCAGACAGACCCTCTGCCATTTACTTTGTGCCAAGTTGCTCTTCCATACCTTATTTTATTCAATCAGTCTTCCCAACTCAATGAGAAAGCTACTCCCATTGTCTCCATTTGACAAATAAGCAAGCAAGATTAAAGGTAACTCGCCAGATCTCACAGCTAGTAAGTGGTCAGAATTCCTACCTAAGCAGTCCTTAGTCATTTCATTACATTGCCTCCCAGAAGGAATCTGAAGAAAAAATATCAATAAAAAAGGGACGAAAAAAGTAGGAAAAGAGATGGAGAAGGAAGACAACACAGGAAAAGACAAGAGAAGATTACTTTCTGTCAGCTTTCAAGGCTGTATCCTCCTGTGTCCTCTGCACTCCCAGCACACCTCATACCCCTAAATGCATTCAAGGACCTATACCCTCCTTTCTTTATCTTTAGGACACCAAAATGCCCAGGGTCTCTACGTCACCCCTACCAGTAACTAACATTTCTGAATCTAGCAGCTTTCACTTTTTGTAATCCTTGCCTTTAGTTCTAGTGTTCCATCTAAAAGGTCTCATATCCTCCTTTCTATGATCCAGCTGATCAAAACCTTCAGTTCTTAGACAGTTGCAAGCCCTTTGATACCCTGGTATCTTCCATAGCCAGACTCCACACTGTTGCTATGACACCATCTCTTTCCCCAGATGCCCTGCCCTCTTTGAA